GGGGGGGGGGGGGGGGGGGGGTACCTGCAAGTCTTTGATTCAATTTCCCTACGGATTATTCAATTTTTTACATATTTGCACTGTTTTTTATCGAATTAGATAAACATTATATTATACTGATTGCACGAATATCTACTTTATGCTGAACTTTCTTCTAAATCGTTTTGCCTAATTTGCATTTACTGCAATTACTGACATTACATAATGAAAAATATTAACATATTGTAATTACATGTCAGTTCTTATTTTTCCTATTATTATATTGGCAGTGAAAATGTGCATGGTTGTGTAATTTTGCAGATATTGAATTCCTATTAATGGCATGTTATGTTTATAGTATTATGTGTGAAGGTTGAATGAATTATTTGCATTCTATTGTTTTAACTTTTGCCTGCGTTGAATGCATTTTTATTATTAATTATAATAAATGCTTTAATCATGCTTTGACATTCTCTATTAACAATAAATGTTATGCTGAATAACCTAAATGATTATGCTTAATGACTTATACTAAATTATATGAAATACAGATGTAAGTTTAATTGTTGGAATTCTGACTTTTACAAACATTTTGTAATATATTTTCTTCCTACACAGCCTACTAAAGTTAACAAATATCGTTATTATGGCAAAGAGGAAGAGATACGAATATCTTTCTCGAACCCAACAATGGCGTCGGCGGCAAAAAATAACAATTGACGAAATTGAAGAGAGAACCGATGAAAACATTGATATTCCTCAGGTTCATGACAACAACACTGATAATACTACTTACACCGATATAAATATTATTGCTAAACATTGTGAAAAAGTACATAATGACTTTCATTCAAATTTTGAAGAATCTGACGTGGAATCAGAATGGAGTGATAACAGCGATGATCAATGGGATCAAGATCTAAATGTTAATCCACGTAAAGAAATTCCATTATGCCAATTTCTACGCACGTGGGCTGTTGAGAATAATATTACACATTCTGCTTTAACGAAATTGCTAAAAGGTCTCAGATGTAATGGGCACGGAAATCTTTCTGCTAATGCACGAACATTATTGCAAACCAACTGTAAACTCAACAACTCTTACTGATAGTGGATCTTTTTATTATCATGGTTTACGAAAAGCATTGAAGGATAATTTAAAACGCAGACCTATTAATAAACCTATAAAAAATTCAATTTTAATAAATTTAAGCATTGACGGAATGCCATTGCAAAAAGCTCCAAGAGCCAACTTTGGCCTCTTTTAGGACAAATCATTCATGATGATTATAGAGAAGAACCGTTTGTAATTGGAGTATTCCATGGGTATATGAAACCATTTAAGCCAAATGAAATCGTTGATAAATTCATTGAAGAATATAATCAAATTAGAAAAGAAGGATTTACATATGTCGGACAAAAATTCAGTGTTTTGGTGAATTGCGTAATATGCGATGCCCCAGCATTCATAAAATGCATTAAAAGTCACACAGGATTCTATGGATGCGACAAATGTGAGGAAGAAGGTGAATTCAGAGAGCACCGAATGGTATTTTGTAATGAAAATGCTCCATTACGCTCAGATGAAACATTTTTATTACGAACGAATCAAGAGCATCATCTAAACGATTCTCCATTCGAAAATGCTGGATTTAAAATGATTACGCAGTTTCCCTTGGACTATATGCATTTAATTTGTCTCGGTAACGTGACTTAAAATTTTGGATAAAAGGAATAAAAGGTATCAAATTGCGCTCTTCTGAAATTAATCGATTATCAGCACATTTTAAGTCGTTAGTACCACACATACCTAGAGAATTTGTCAGAAAACCGAGAGGGATCGATGAATTAGATCGGTGGAAAGCGACAGAGTTTAGGTTGTTCCTGTGTTATACTAGTTTGGCTGTTGTGTGATCGTATTTACCAGATGATTATGTAAGGCATTTTTATGTTTTACATTGTGCAGTTTCTATTTTGTGCAATGCCACTGATTGTAAATATAATAATGAATATGCAAAAGAACTATTAGTACATTTCGTACAAGCATTCAAAACATTGTATGGCGAAGAATATGTAACCTATAATGTGCATAGCTTAATTCATTTATCTCAAGATGTAAAGATTCATGGATCTTTGGATATGTTTAGTGCTTTCCCATTTGAAAATTTTTTACAGCACCTCAAACGAATACTCAGAAAGAGTGCTCAACCCTTACAACAACTACAAAGACGTTTAATAGAAAAATCATTAATATGTACAACAAGTACTGAATGTGAACACGAATATCCCATTTTAAAGAAACCCAAAGACGAAGCATTGTTATTTGAATGTACGAATTTACATAAGGAAGTGCAGTTTAACAACTTCACACTTTCTTGCATAAAGCAAGCTGACAGTTTTTGTTATACAAAGGATAAGCGTATCGTCATGATTGAGCATATTGGCAAGAAAGATGGAGAATTAATGGTACCTGGAAGAGTATTACAGAATACCTTGAGTCTCCCTTTATATCCATGCGACTCACGCCATTTAGGAATCCATGTTGGAGATAAATGGTCAGAACTTGAAGTATGTCCAATAAGCGCTATAAGTAATAAAGCAATGCGACTTCCTTTCAAAAATACGTACTGTATAATTCCCATTCTACATACTTACAATTAAGGTGAGTTTCATTATTACTTTCAATGTCATTGTATGTAACATAACATGCCATTTTGAGGTCTATTCAATATTTTACATATAATTATTACCTATTGTTATTATTATTATTGTTATTGTTGTTATTATTATTGTTATTATTATTATTATTATTGAAATAATATCTGAAGTTCAAAACTGAATATTAGAAAACATTTTGGTATTATTTTAATTTCTTTTACGCATTATTATTTATTTATTTCGTTAAGTAACTGCAACAGAGTTTGAAACATATGTATACATTGGAATAATAAACATAATCAAATTTGCGCAAATATTAATATAGTCTTAAAGTGCATATTTGGAAATATATAAAAATATTCAAATAATGTTAATATATCTCAAAAATACTTTTTTTTACATAATTGCTACGAATAAGGTGAAGTTCGCAATTTATTTGCATGTCATATATACCATATTTTATAGCTATACATCTATTATATTTCTCATTTACCAAAATTACAGTTTATTTCCATCCTTTTGAATATTTATAAATTGATATACTATTTCAGATGTATTATGTAATAACTTGTGATAACTACTGCTCAGTCGTCCCAGATATTTGGGTGAACCTCTCAGAGAAAACTTTTGCGTTTCCGACTACAGGAACCAACGCCACGAGTGCAATTAAAAAGAAAATTCGCTCTGAAGATGATTGGAACATTTACGAAAATCGTAAAATATTAGGACCCTACGATAGTTATGAAAGGGCTCGAAGTATAGAAAAAACTTGCATCAATATATCTAGTTCCGATGAAATGCAGTTGAAGGCACTATCGGAGCAATCGACGCCAATATTGCCTGTGAAACGTCTAGTGACTAAAAAGCGTTTTTACGACAAAAGTGACGAAAGCGAAACAAATAATCGTATGTTTTTAATTTCATATACAGAGTGCCCCGTTTAAATTTATTTCCCAAAACATTATTTTATTTTTGATTTTAGAAAATAATGTTTCATATAAAAGTTGTAAAGTTTTAAGAGATGCATCACATAACAAGGTTAGTGTGACCTTGAGTAGCGTTATCAAGATCATGTAAACATCACTTTGAAATATTTAAATAGATATCCCCATTTTATATAACATGTTCATATCTCAAGCTTATCTCAAGGATTTTCTAAAACATTATAATTAAATACTTTTTCTAAAACACTATAATTAAGTATTTTTTCAGTTCAGAACTTTCCAAGTTATGAGACATAAATGTTACGTTTTTACATAAAATGCAATGAATGAGACATAAATGTATTTTGATATAAAATACAAAATATTTGGTACAACATTCTATATAAATATAAATTTCCAATAATACTTATAATCTTAACTTAATACTTTTACACAGAATAATGCACAGAATAATGTAATAAATGAATTGATATAAAGATAAGATTATCGAAAACTAAATATTTTATAAGATATTTCATAAGATTTTTTATATTCTATATCACGATACAATAATATTTATGTCTCATAACTCGGGAAGTCCTGAACGAAAAGTATTTAATTACAGTGTTTTGGAAGGCTTTAGAAATAAGCGAAGAATATGAAAAAAATGAAGATTTCCATTTAAATTATATTTCAAAATGATTTTGACGTGGCTTTGACTGTTTACAGTTAACACTGTTCAAGGTCACATTCATCGTTCAAAGTAATCTTGCTATGTGATGCGTCTCTTAAAACTTTACAACTTTTGTATGAAACATTTTCTTTTGAAATAAAAAGTAAAAAGATTTCTGGGGAGATAAATTAAAATGGGACACCCTATATATGAGTGAAGTATACTAATGTAATGAAAATATAATAAAATTTTAATAAAAAGATTTGACAACACGATGAGAGCAGAAATTGTTGAAAAAATGTTACTGTGCACATGTAAATTATGCCTAAATTTTCATGTTATATGTATATTTTTGTAATACTTATATTAATATAATGTTATTTTTTATTACATCATTAATGTCATGTTTATTATACAGAAAATGCTCCCAAACGATCAGAACTAATTTCTCATTCTCCAAGGACGTACAAATTACATGAAGAAAATGAAGGAAAAGCTGCAGACGTTGGAATTGAATATCATTCCTCAGCAAACTTACAATCATTTACAATGAAGCAAGTGAGTAATAATAGCAAATGCAATTTATAATATATAAAAGGATATATTTATAAGAAATAAAATATGTAATTAATGTTCTATATTATATGTTTCGTATGTTGTAATAAAATGTTCTGTAATTATAAACAATAATAAATTGCGTATATAAAAAATTAACAATAATAATGTTAAAAATTAATAAAATAAAAAAATTAGACATTAAAAAATAAAGTAATACATAGCCACACAGCAAGAATGTCCCAAATACATCACAGGGATATCTTGAAGATATTACATATCCCAAATATATCTTTAGGATATCCCTATGAAATATTTTGGACACCTCTGCTGTGGGATATAAAATACGTAAAAAATATATGCATAAATATTTACATAAAATCGTATTACATGTGCATAAATAAAAATAATAAATATTTTTTATATATTCATATTTATAAATTTTTTGTATCGAATGTATATTATGTATTAAAAAAGAAACATAATGTATTAACATGTACATCTAATACATATGGATATATTAATAAATATAAAATATAAATTTTCATACAATGACAAATATTTATATATTATATTAAATAATAAGAAATGTTTGAAGAAATTGTTAAAATGGGTTAAAATGGTCCATTTTGTTCTGAACAACATTTTTGTATCTTTTTGAATGCGGATTTTTCTAATCTTCTTTATAATTTATTAATATTACATATTTACTAATAGACAAATAAAAAGAAAGGGCATAAAGATAATTAGTATTATAATAATATTAACCATTTCATTGATGAATCCGAAATTAACGTGCCGAAACTGTTGAGAGAGAGTATCAAAGACAAACTTGTTCTTTATTATTATGATATTGTTAACTGAAAATACTTAATATTTCATTTGCAAATAATAAAGGTAAAAGTATCTACAATGGAATACTAGTAGTTCAGTAGAAGTCATTATTTTGGGTCCATTTTAAATTTTGAAATGGTGGACATATATATGCCATTATCAGTGAACTGGTTAACATGATACGAAACTTTCATGTGAATGTTTCGTTTATTTTTTTTATATTTTTATTCAAATATCCACTTCCAGTAATCTTGTTTGAATACTATAGTATACATAATCTAATAAGTAGCCACAAATTATTAATATTACAATACATATTTTATTTAAATATTATTCCACTTCTAATAAGTTTTATCAATTTTTTTTGTAACACCTTTTTCTATATTTTCACAAAAAGAGTGTAACTACATCTACGTACTCCACGAAAAAGAAACCTACAGTACGTAGCAATGTTTATATTCCAACTTTGAAGGGACACCCATATTCAATGGAAATTTTGGAAGAAAATGAAACTGACATTGAGGATGGACAGCTCGATTCCAATTATGAAAATAATACTTTTTACAACAATAAAAGACCAATAACTAACGAAGATAAGGAAAATCACAAACATTCTCCTATCGATATACTTTTTAGTAGTGTTACGTTAGTATGAAATAAAATATGGTAAATATGCAGAAAAAGGATGCCACCTCCGATAAACTTGACCTTGACGATGATCTTGACATATGTTATCAAGGACATAGGCTTGAGTAATAATCAAAAGGTTTTATGCATTGTTCATTACAAAGTTATTAAAAAAAAAATTGCATAAAATGAATTACATAAATTGCATAAAATAACTTGTGGACACCATATATACAAAAACATCGAATTTGTAGACTAAGAAAGTTACCTGCCCTTAGCCGCATATTTACCTAAAATACAGGGTGTTCGGAAAGTACCGGGACGCCCGAATATCAGGAAAAATATAAGTTTTACAAAAAAATGTTTCAGACAAAAGTTGTGGCGTTTAAAAAGATGTATTTACTGATCACATCAGTTTGACCTTGGGTTGCGTAGCGAAGGTCAGGTCAAGGTCACATTAATTTTTTTAAATGGAA